GGATCGCTGTGAGTTTGAGGCCAGCCTGGTCTCCAGAGCGAGTGCCAGGATAGGCTCCAAAGCTACACAGAGAAACCCTGTCTTGAAAAACCAAAAGAAAAAAAAGAAAAGAAAAAACAGCCCCTCACTGCCTAGGCTTGCTCATTCCTGTTCCTGGTTGGGAGACACTTCTAAATCTCTTAAACCCCATTTGCCAAAGCCCAAGCGCCCATTCCTCAATCCTGATCCCATGACATGGAAATCAGCAGAGAGGCCTTTAGGTGACTAGAGACAGGAACATAGCCATGGCAGCTCATGAGAATTCTGCAAACCTGGGGGAGTGAGTATAAACACAGGTGTGATCTCTAGGGAACGCGTGCACACTGAGGAATAACAACAGCAGTCGCTTTGGGAAGTTCATCCAGCTCCAGCTGAACAGGTAATAGCTACTGCCATCCAACACATGGGACAGCAGAGGTGGGGATTGGAGCAGCTGGGGCAGTCACCAACTTGGGTCATCCTCATGGGCAAAACTCTGCTCATAGCTTGTATGTTATATGTGTGGGTTTCTTGAGCACAGTGAACTCAGGTGGTATCCTTTTCAAACCTAGAAAGCCATAGCTACTATGATCTTGAGCTAGTGCTTTTATGGCCTGTGTGTTCATGCTAGCTTCTCTTGCTCAGAAATTTCTTGTTAAAATGTCTCTTTGGGATATAACCCTGAGCCTGAAGCTACATTGAGTTCCTACATTGAGATGGGCCAAAATGATAATGCAGAGATATTGCCATGCCTACCTGAGCTACATATAAGAGAATATCCCAGAACACTCAAAGACATTTTGAGTTTTGTTGTTTGAGACAAAGTCTCAAAGAACCTAGGTTAACCTTGAGCTCCTGCTCTTCCTGGCTACTATACCTGGCTTCCCAAGGACATTCTGAATGTTCCCAACCCAAGAAGAGCTTGGAAGGGATTTGGTAGGTGGCAGTCTGTTGTACAGCTAGAGCTAGTAAATGGCTATGGAATAAAGGGATAATAATGGGCTCTGCCTCTGTGTGCCAGAGCCCAGCAGATGACGGGAGCTGCGGTCCAGACCTACCTCCTGGAGAAAACGCGTGTGGCTTGTCAGGCCTCCAATGAGAGGAACTTCCACATCTTCTACCAGGTCTGTGCCGGGTGGCATGCACTGTGCCACCAGCAGGGCCGGGTGGCTTGTCCCTTCTCCCCAGCATGCTGCACATCTGGCCCCTTGGCTTGCTCTCAAGCAGAGCTGCTCAGACAGTTTGGACCTAGAGGTGTAATTTTCTGCCTCTTTCAGATCAGAAGGTCCTCTAGGCAGGGACTCTTGTTTTCTAAGTGGAAGCTGTATCACCTGCATTAGACTGAGGACCCTTCAGAGATGAAAACTATTTCCCACATCAGCGTGAGAGCTGCTCTGGGATTGTGTTCCTTCCTGGTCTGGACTTCCCCAGGGCTTTGGGGCTTTGGTAGGGCTTCTTGCACCCAGACTAGGAGCATCTTTAGGTAAGGGGATGTGCCTCTCTACTTGAGACAAGGACTCCCCAGCAAGAGTCATGCATTCTGTATCAGACCGCCAGGAAGATATGTTTGTATCCATCAGGCTGGAGACATCCTGGACAGTGGTGTTTTCTTTTACCCCATGCCCTGTGCTTACTTTGGAGGACCTCTCAGCTTTGCAGTATTGTACCATTTCTCACTCCTGATTTTAACCCCAGGCCTGAAGGCCCTCCCACCCAAGCTGAGCCTCCTGTACAACCCTCCCCACAGATTTGCAAAGGAGCCACCAAGGATGAAAGGCTCCAGTGGTACCTCCCTGAGGGAGCTGCCTTCTCCTGGCTACCCAATCCAGAAAACAACTTGGAAGGTAGGCGGAGCCTCCTTAGTACCCTAGACTGCCCCAAAGCCCTACCCATTCTGCCCAGGGCCTATCTCCCCTCCCCAATGACCCTGCTGACCACTGGGCTGTGACATGAATTCTTTTCAGAGGATTGTTTCGAGTTGACCAGAGAGGCCATGCTCCATTTGGGCATCGACACCCCCACCCAGAACAACATCTTTAAGGTCAGAAGAAAAGCCATGCTACTTACACTTAGAGGTGATGGTAGCCCTTTTCATGGATTGTCCCTCAACTTGGGACTCTCTCTCCTGGAGTGTCTAGGACTTCAAGCCTCACAGGACCATATCCAAGGAGCTGGCCATCACTGTAAGGAGCCTGGAGACAGGTGCTAGACTGGGCCATAGGGTCAGCGACACACCATATAGTACTGAGTAATGAACATGGCACAGTGACTCACACACCCAGAGCACAAGGACCTTAGGGCAGGTTTTATTACAGTGACAAGAATAGAGAAATAATCTTTCCCTGTTTGTCTAACACTTTAAAACTTAGAAATTATCTTCACACCTCTTAGGTCACTTGATTTTTATCAACAGTCTCTTGTGCATGGAGATTATTTCCATTTTATACCTGAGAAATTCAGAGGTAAGGAAACCTACCCAAGGGGTGGAGAGATGGTTCAGAGGTTAAGAGCACTGGCAGCTCTTCCAAGGGTCCTCGATTCAATTCCCAGCAACCGCATGGTGGCTAACAACCATCTGTATGAGATCTGGTGCCCTCTTCTAGCCTGCAGGCATACATGCAGACAGAACACTGTATACATACTAAATAAATAAATCTTAAAAAAAAAAAAGCCAGGCATTGGTGGCACATGACTTTACTGCCAGCACTCAGGAGGCAGAGGCAGGCAGATCTCTGTGAGTTCAAGACCAGTCTGGTCTACAAGAGCTAGTTCCAGGACAGCCTCCAAAGCCACAGAGAAACCCTGTCTCGAAAAACCAAAAAAAATAAGAAACAAAACCTAGGACACCACTAAGTAATAAAGTTGGTTCCAGGCGTTGTCATTCCAAATGCCCACCTCTTCTTCCACTCTGTCCTCTGTCTCTCCCTCTGGGAGCCCAGTGAGCTAGCCTTCTCATCCTTACCGTCTTTCTGCCTTTGCTGAAGGCCAACTGCTCCCCTCACTTCCTTATCTCCTAGAGCAACAGGATGCAATGCATAGGGTAGGCTGGGGACAGAGGCAGGGAAGCCACTGCAGGAAGATGGGGATATTGATGGCCTCCACATGGTGTTTGAGAAGGTAAGGTGTCACATCCAGTATGAACACTGCCAGCAAGAGTTTGTGCAGAAGCACAGTACATAGAGACAAGCTAGAGGGAGTGAATGATAACACTAGGAGTCTGGGCATGAGTGCTGGTTTGAAGGTGTTACGACATACTTATCTGGCAGGAAAGACACCATGATCAGGAAGGTGGTTTTCCCAGGGCAAGACTCATCCATTCCACTGAAAGTGTTATGACCCTATGCCACAGCCATGCTGCCCACTGGGCACAGGTGCCCTCTCCTGGGGTAGTTTGGGGCCAGAAGACTAGTAGCATATGGAGATTATCTGTCTGAAACCAGACAACAATAGCCAGAGAGGCTCTGCTCTCTTAATATGAGGTCCAAAGTTTCTAAACTTACTGGGTCTACTAAGTGTTCTCTTTGCCATTATAACTTCTGGAAGTTACCTTTATAGATCATTAAAGGCAAAGGCAAAAGGGTAGTACCTACTGTAGAGACCAAGATCACAGTTCCTCCCCTAGGCTGGACTATCACAGCCCAGTAATACTGAGAAAGGGTCCAGGAAGCCATGGCCAGGCCCCATCAGGCAGAAATGACCCTGGCCCATAACTAAGGGAGTGGCACTTCCACATGGACTGTTCCTGAAGAGTGACGGATGGAGGTAGGACCTATTGACTGCTCTGGGAGGCAGCTGGTCTCACTGCCTAGACTCTAATCTTGCCTTTCTCATGTATTCCTCATTAACCTCTCCCATCTCTGTTATGGGCATCACCATGGCATGTGCCTCATGGGATGTGGAAGAGATAGTCTTGGGATGCTCTAATGTGTATGAAATCTTGTCTGAGAGAGGTAGACAACGGGACAATGATCAGGAGCTCCCTTCGTCCTCTGTTTTGACATCAGCCTAAGGACTCATCTTCAACTCCTACTTTCTGACCATCCCTTCCACCCCTCAGGTCCTAGCTGGACTACTGCACCTTGGCAATGTCCATTTTACTGACTCAGAAGATGAAGCCCAGCCCTGCCAACTAATGGATGGTACCAAGGGTGAGAGACAAGGATTAGGGAATGTTCCTGGCAGGAAAGTGACTAGTGTTGTTGAGGTATGGTGGGAAATTGAAGGGTGAACTTTTCAGTCTGGCACTTGATTAACCATCTACTGTAGAGCCTGCCATGGATAATTTACCTCTCAGCCTCTGGTGAAACCAACACTGTTGTCTCCATCTTACAATGAGAAGGTGGTTTAGAATGTAATTTGTCCAGTTGTAATACTGTGGCTTTAAGTCCTACCTCTGCCACATAAGGAGGCCTGTGACAAGCCTCCTCACCCATCAGAATCTCAGGTTTGCCCTGGGTTCCCTCCATCCACTCCGTTCCAATGGAGGGTGATGGCTTAAGGAGGACTCTTCTCCCAGTCTCTGTCAGGACATCAGCCTCACTGCTGCACCTCCAAGAGGACTTGCTGCTGGAGACTATGCAGATTCGAACCATCAAGGCAGGCAAGCAGCAGCAGGTATTCCGGAAGCCCTGCTCCCGAGCTGAGTGTGACACCCGCAGAGACTGTCTGGCCAAACTGATCTATGCACGGTGAGCAATTTACTCTGGGCCTTCACATCCCCATGGGTTCTCAGCCTGTCTGAGCTTGGACTAAACACTGTCAGGCAATAGATGGGAGGCTCAAGACCGAGGGTGCAGAATAAAGCAGACCGGTTGCTGGGACTCCAGGAGGTGGCAGGGCTTTGCCACCTAAACACTGCCTTTGGTCTCTGTGTGCATGTTAAATGGAGAAGTTGCCACATTCCTGACCTAGATTCAGTGATCTTGGCAATAGGTGAGGAAAGCCTGCTCAGCTTTCCATTGGCAAAGCAAGGCCCAAAGGTGATCTCCGCCTTTACAGCTGCAGGTTCAGACTGTTGAATAGTGGATAGGCTCCTCTGTCTCCTGTATCCTGGTTCCTAAGGTCATTCATCAGGGGAGTTGGAGAGAGAGCAGTGGAGCCAGAAGCTCAGCTCAGAGTCAGTGCCAGCAAAAGACTCAGCAGCCAGGAGCAGCATAGCAGGGAAGGTGGGTCCTGGCCTTTCTTGGGACATGACATAGGCACCTCCATCCTCTGGACCATATGGTCAAGGATTATTTCATCTTGAGTTCTGAGAACCTTCAGAGTAATTTGTAGAGACTCTCAGGGGCTCAGAATCCCCTGAGTGACCACTGTAAATGTGTGTGCATGTGAGATCTTGGACAGCCCTGTTCAGAGCCAAGAATCTGAGGTCTGCCAGAGCCTGCCAGAGACAAAGATACTACTGCTTCAAAGTAAGTTTTAGGTAAAAAAAATTGAGAGATTTTTGCTTTGGGGTTATTTTGAGATAGGGTCTCACTATGTAGCTCTGGCTTGCCTGGAACTCACTATCAATGCTGTGATTAAAGGTATGTGCTACTATACCCAGCAATCAAAAGATTTCTACTCCTTTGTCCACAAGTTACTGCAAAATGAAGAGTTGCAGATAGCATGAGCTTCTAGCTGTAGAACATTTTACACATGTTACACTAGTTCATTTTAATATCTTGCATGAGTCTTTGAACCCCTGTTGCCCCACCCCCAACCCCAAAAAAAGTCTATTGAATTAAACTGATTACAGAGTAATTACTTAAAGAGAAACTGAGGTGTGATGGCCACCTGAAACCCCAGCACTTTTTAGGCTGAAGCAGGGGTTGCTGGTACCATTCCAGAACTGGGGTAGGAGGAGGCAATGTGTAGAACAGAAGTCCCTGAACAGTGTCATGCTTGGTGCCACCTTGTATAGAAGTTTCATTTTCTATGGGCTAGTGACAGTTCCAGAGAAGGCCATTATTCTTGTGACTTGGGAACACTTGTTTGGGATTGAATAGGATGTCGCTGCTCCTTAAGCTTTTTTCAGGGGAATTCAATGCACTCAGCTACTTACTAACCCAACTAGGACCTGCCAGTAGCTTCTTGTAGTCACAGCATCAGTTGGTAATGGGCTATGACCAATGCAGACCCAGGACCCTCTGCTATCTCCTGTGCTGTCTTCCTATGAGGACAGGTCAGATCTGTGTATACCTGGAAATGTATATGCCCAGAGCGTGCCTCTGCAGTAGGTCAAGATTGCATAAACCAGAACAAGAGGATTTAGCCTTTGGCCTGGTAGGTACAGAACACAGGGCCTTTTAGCATGTAACATCCTTCCTGGGAGAGCAGCTTCACCATATCCCACTCTTTCTCATCAACAGGCTTTTCAACTGGCTGGTATCAGTGATCAACAGCAGCATCTGTGCAGACTCCAGCTCGTGGACTGCCTTCATAGGTAGCGAGGCTCATCCTGCTAGGAGCCCTCCAGAAAATAGGCAGTTGGACTCTGGGTGGAGGGAAGGTTACCTGGGTCACCTGTGTGTCTCTGAACAGCTCCTTTTCCCTCTCATCTAGTGTCCTCGCCCATCCATCCAAGAGTTTGGTGATACTCTACATTTGATTGCTCACATATGACATGTCTCTGGTTCTCCAGACAGACCAGTTTATGTCTTATCCCAATGGTCCTTTTTCTCCTAGAGACTTAGCTCCAATCCTGGAAGTGTAGTCAGAGCTTGATGAGGAGACACAGTTGAGATCAGCATTGTTGTGACCTTAGGTTGGGTGAGCTGAGTAGGGGAAGGAAGTAAAGCCTAGGGATGCCAACATAGTTTGCTTAAAGAGAGATCAAGGTCCTCTGAATTCAGTTTTTTTCTGAGAACATTTCCTGATAGCACACAAAAAATTGGGACCTGATATCGAGGAGGAGCCCATTGAGGCCAAAGGACTCAGACTCAAAATTGTGCTGGTGCCTGGGCTGCCCTTCATTCAGATTTTTGGTTTTCTGCCTGCTCTTACGTGGTATGGGGCAGGGGAAGAGGTCCTGGGTCCTACCCTAGGTGGGTGGTGGGAGCAGGAGACAGCGATCATTCAACCTTATCCCAAGGCTTCTAAGAATGAGGCCTCAGCAAGGGTCCAGCCACTTGAGCTCCTGAAGCTGTCATCTCTACCCCCCTGTGGTAGCTCGATGGTTCTCTCCTGTCTTCAAAGGTCTGCTAGATGTGTATGGGTTTGAGTCATTCCCTGACAACAGTCTGGAACAGTTGTGCATCAACTATGCCAATGAGAAGCTACAGCAGCACTTTGTGGCTCACTACCTCAAGGCCCAGCAGGTAAGGTGTGGGGCAAGGCAGGTCATCGTTCTGGATCCTCTGCCTCTTCCTAGCCCCCAGCCCTGTCATGACTAGGCACCTTTGTTCCTTGTCTTGTTGATAAGTAATAACTATGTAAGAAAGTGTTTTAATATAGTTTTGTTCCTTCCTTAATGCTATTCTGGAACTTGCTTTCTCCCACCACGCCCCTGCTCCAGGAGGAATATGCAGTTGAGGGACTGGAGTGGTCATTTGTCAACTACCAAGACAACCAGACCTGTTTAGATCTCCTGGAGGGGAGCCCCATCAGCATCTGTTCCCTCATAAATGAGGTAGGGAGGTTTAGCCAGTGAGCCAAGCAGCAGAGTTGGTTTCTGGGCTTTTCTGGTGCCTTGGTGACTGTTTTGTGTGCTCTTTTGTCCATCTCTCTCCCCCATCTGCAAATAAGTGTACTAATTCCTACCCCTCCCAACCCCCCGTCCGGAGTTGCTATAATGCCGGTGTTACCACTCCGCTCCCATGGGTAGCAGACACTGAGGATGGTGAAGATTGTGGTAAGACTTCATCATTGTGACTGCTCACTCCCGCCCCACAGGAATGCCGCCTCAATCGGCCGAGCAGTGCAGCACAACTACAGTCACGCATCGAGAGTGCTCTGGCAGGCAAGCCCTGCCTCGGCCATAATAAGCTCAGCCGGGAGCCCAGCTTTGTGGTTGTGCATTTTGCAGGACCTGTACGGTACCACACGGAAGGCCTGGTGGAAAAGAACAAGGTGGGCCTGGGACATAGCATATGGGTCCTGGGGAAGAAAGCATGAATCATGCTGGGCAGTGATGGCGCACGCCTTTAATCCCAGCACTCGGGAGGCAGAGGCAGGCAGATCTCTGTGAGTTCGAGACCAGTCTGGTCTACAAGAGCTAGTTCCAGGAAAACCTCCAAAGCCACAGAACACCCCTCCCCCCCCCCCAAAAAAAAAGATAAGAAAGGAAGGAAAAGGAAGGAAGGAAGGAAGGAAGGAAGGAAAGAAGGAAGCTGAATCACTGCTACATACAGAATAGGTCCTAACTAGCATCCTCTTCCTCATGAGTGACCTCTCCTCAAAATCCAGGCTACCCTCTTGAGCCCTGTCCAAGAAGTTTGTTTATCCATTCTGATCTGCCTGCCTGGAAGTGGCCTCTGTCTCTTGGCTGGCAGACCCACTCTGCTTGGAACTCCAGCCCTGACTTCCCAGGAAGCCCCATGCTTGGGTAGGGTGCCAGAGCAGTGGCCAGCAGTAGGAAGCAGCTCACCTGCCCGCCACCCTCACCCTTTCCTAATAGGACCCTGTTCCCCCTGAACTGACTGGACTCCTGCAGCAGTCCCAAGACCCTCTGCTCATGATGCTATTTCCTGATAACCCTGAAGAGAAGACCCAGGAGGAGCTGTCTGGCCAGAGCAGGGTTCCTGCATTGACTGTGGTGTCCAAGTTCAAGGTGGGTCTGATAGTGCTGCCCTGAAGTGCTCGGTTCACTCTCATAATTGTTACTGAGCACCCCTCAGGATTGGGGCTGTTTACTAGGGAGCAGTAATGTGTCATGCAGAAGTGGTCCTGGTCCCTTCAAGTTTATCCTCCAGTGTCTTTTACATAGGAAACCAACAAGACACTACGGGATATAAGACTATGACAGGGACTGGGGCTCTCACCTCTGCTAATGGGGAAGTCAGAGAAGAGTAGCACTTTATATGGAGCTGTGACTGCCCTGTTCAAACCCTGTGCTGGGCTGGACCAGACTACCGCTTCCCTTGGTGTTGTCTGCTTCCATTCTGCTGTGTGAAACTTGCATGGGCTGCTCACCTCCCTGGGATCTCTTGACCACTGCCCTCCAACTTGTTCACCCACCCTGCCACTTTTTCTGTCTGTTCCTGTTCTGTCTGTTCCTCAAACCTAGTTTGAGGGTACCCTGGGAAACCCAGGTTTATTGTCTGAGAAGCATGCTACCGCCACAGCATCAAACACTACTGACAAGACCTGCACAGCATGTGTGTCATTAGGCTGGCTGTGATATAAGTAGACTGTGGGTCACACCCCTGTGACACAGGGCACAGGGTAGAACAGCAGGGCTGGTGTGAAGCTGTTCTCCTGTAAGAAAGAATTGGGGAAGAGAGGAAAGGGACAAGCAGCAGACCAGAGGATCAATCGATGAGAGCCACTGGTCAGAAGTGTCCCTGGATAAAAAGGGTGACAAGTAATGGGTGGTTAAACTGTGCTTTGCACAGGTTCTTTAAGAACTTCCAAACCTATGAGAGTGAGAAGGGAAGAAAAGGAAGGAAGCAGAGGTCATGAGGAAGCAGAAATTTTGAGTCAGGTGTAGATTAGAAGAAAGGACATATGATAGGTAGGATTTTAGTTGGGGGGGTGGTAGAAGGGAGGGAGAAGGGAACTGGGATCGTCATGTAATTTTAATCCCAGCACTTGGGAGGCAGGTGGATCTCTGAGCTTGAGGCAAGCCTGGTCTACAATGCAAGTTGTAGGATAGCCAGGACTGTTAACACAAAGAAACCCTATCAGGTGGGAAGGGGGATTCCAGTAGTCCCCAGGGCATGCAGGTCCTGATCTCAAGGCTGGGAGGGCCACCAAGGACATAATGTATTCACATTTATGACCCTCAGCTGCCCCAATCTGCCTTACCCCAGATTTCTCTGTCTGCAGGCCTCACTGGAACAGCTCCTGCAGGTCCTACATAGCACAACACCCCACTACATTCGCTGTATCAAGCCCAACAGCCAGAGTAAGCCACAGACCTTCCTCCAGAAAGAGGTAACTAACCCTGAGCAACAGCTGCCTAGCATCAAACCCCATCTGGCCAGGCCTAGAAAACTAAAGGGAGACCATCTCCAGATGGATTGATCACAGACAGTCAGTCTCTCAGGCTGGACATTAAGGGTTGCTTATTTCGCTGCTCTGGCAGGGCAGTCATGTGTAGTTGTATGTCCTGTACACTGCACCAAGGCCTAGCCAAGGTGGCACGTAGGGACTCCAGAACATCTTGCTCCTTGCTCACCTAACCTAACTCTGACAATAGGCTGAATCTGCTCAGGGAAGTGGCTGTTTTGTGATTTGTTCAACATCTGCAGTCCATGCAGTTCGGCTATCTCTGACTATTAATCTCATTTTCTAATTTACATAGAATCACTCCTCAGGGTTTCAGGGTCTGAGCGGGTATAGAGGATGTGTGAGTGCTGAACAGCACTGAGGAATGTCCAACAGTCACCTGGTAAATGTAGCTCTGTAGCCAAGCCGGGGGGTGGTAGCGCACGCCTTTAATCCCAGCACTTGGGAGGCAGAGGCAGGTGAATCGCTGTGAGTTGGAGGCCAGCCTGGGCTCCAGAGGAGTGCCAGGATAGGCTCCAAAGCTACACAGAGAAACCCTGTCTCAAACAAAAACAAAAAACAAAAAACAAAAAAAAAGAATCTTCACAGTATAACCTTCCTTGCTTGAGCAACCTGGAGAGGTGAGAGACAGCCAGGACCATTGCAGACCTTAGCTATATCAGGAGCCAGGTACCAGACAGGGCATTTGTGGGTCTACCAGGACCTCTTCTAGCAGGGAGTGGCTCCCTTAGTTTCTCATGGACCCACAGAGACAGATATCTCCATCAGCCAATCCTGCCTGTCACTGAAGGTCAGGACCAGAGATATGCAAAAGAAATGGCATTACTGGCCTGCAGGTACTTGCTCTGTCTCCCCACCCTTGCAGGTCCTGAGCCAGTTGGAGGCCTGTGGCCTTGTGGAGACCATCCACATCAGTGCTGCTGGCTTTCCCATCCGGTAAGTGAGCCACATTGCTGTGGGACCAAAGCATTTAGAACATGGGCCAGACAGAGGGAGGTAGGAATGAGGAGAATGGCAGGTCTGTGGCGATCCACCTGGAAGGCAAAGGGGTGGCACCTGTGCATCTGTTCAGTCACTCATTGTGGAATCTCTGCCCTTGTAGGGCCTACATTCCTGTGGAAGCTAGAAAATTAGGTGTGAGCCAGACACAGCCACACCTATGACCCCAGCACTTGAAATGCTGAGACAGGAAGATCAACACAAGTCTAAGGCGAGCCTGGGCTATGTAGTGAGTTTGACTCCAGACTGTGACACTGTTTGAAAAATCAACAAAAGGGCTGGGTGGGTGCTAGAGAAATGGATAACTCTGAGGTTAAGAGTACATACCACTCTTCCAGAGGACCCATATTTGGTTCCCAGCATCCACAACCTAAGGCAGATCACAACTGTCTGTAAACCCAGCTCCAAGACAACCCAACCCCTCTGCCTTAATGGATGCCTGCAACTACAGGCACATATGCACACACGCTCACCCACCCACTCCACACACAGACACAATTAAATATAATACTCAATCTCCCCCCCCCTTCTTTTAGGAAGGGTCTGGGGCTGGAAAAATGGTTCAGGGTTAATAGCACTGGCTGCTCTCCAGAAGACAGGGGTTCAATGCCAGCTCACAGCCATCTATAACTCCAGTTCCAGGGGATATGAAGCCCTCCCCTGGCCTCCACAGGTACCAGGCATACACATGGTACACAGACAAACATACAGGCAAAACACTCATACACATAAAATTTTTTTAAATTTACAAATAAAGCAGAGTGTGGTGCCTCTCAGCTCTCGGGAGGCAGAGGTGGGCAGATCTCTGTGAGTTCAAGCCCAGCCTGTTATACAAAATGAGTTCCAGGACAGCCAGGGCTACACAGAGAAATCTTGCTAGGGGGGTGAAGAGGGAAGAGGAGGGCTAAATATTTTTAAAAATCAATAAACAAAAATAAGTGCTTGCTGAGGACCAAGTTGGGATGTCCAGCACCCCTGTTAAAAGCTGGGTATAGTGGAGCTAGAGAGATGGCTCTACTGTTTAGAGCACTGACTGCTCTTCCAGAGGAGCCAGGTTCAATTCTCAGCACCCACATGGCAGCTACAGACATGGAGCTGTCTGTAGGTCTAGTTCTAGGGGATCTGGCACCATCACAGACATACATGCAGGCAAAACAATGCATATAAAATAAAAATAAAAATCTTTTTTAAAAAAAGAAAAAGCTAGGAATGTCAACAGGCATGTGTAATCCCAGCACTGGGGGATGAACACAGGGTTCCCTGGGCTTGCTGCAGCTAGTTTAACCAGTCAGCAAGCTCCAGGTTCAATGAGAGACTATCTCAAAAACTAAGGTGGAGAGCTATAGAAGGTTTCCAGTGTTAAAATTAAGGCCTCCACGTGTGCAAGCACACACATACTTCCACAGAAAAGACACACAAGTACAACTAGTGCTAAGAAAGAAACAGAATTTATTGCTGCAGGGAAAATCTGTGGTCTGGTTATCAGTGCAGGCCCAGAGAAAAGGAAAGGGCCAGGCTGGGAGGGCTTAGAACAGAGAACAACCACAATACTGTCAGGAAGTGAGACACCAAGGGACTGGGCCACAGAGAAGCAGCAACAGGGAATGTAAGAGAACAGGAGCCAGACACAGCTGGCCATGAAAAGCCTTGACCGTTTGCCCTGAGTGCAGTGGAGGCTGCTGGGGTGGGAAGGGAACGGCAGTGTCTCATATTCTCAGAGAATTCTTGTGCTGCTCACTGGAGGTTAGATGCAGGGTTAGGACAGAAGATGATGAGTGATGTTGCAGGTGTCTAGGAGGAGGATTAGCTGTGAAATCTGGGAAGCAATAGAGCAACCTGGGATATATAGTTCATAATATGTAGCTCACAGTGAAGAGAACGGGATGGTTTACAGGGTCAGGTGAGGAACAGTCAGCTTCCAGGCTGTAGAAATGAGTGCTGTCTTCTGGGGCAGATGGTTGAATCAAGACAGTTTACCAAAATGGGCTAGTCTAGGGGAGGCCAGAGTTGGAGTATGAAGGAAAAGGGAAGTGAGAGTCAGGAATTCTGTCAGATTTGAGAGGTTTCTGAGGACAAGCCTCAGAGTTTTAAGAACTGTGCAGGTACATGCTGTCCATCTTCCATGAGTTTGAGCACCCCACTACCAGCAAGGAGATGTACCACACCACATGAAGTCAGAGGACGACTAGGCAAGTCAATTCTCTCCTTCCACCATATGGGTCTTGAGGATTGTCAGACTTCACAACAGGCACTTTTATCTGCTGAGCCATCTTGCCAGCCATAGGCTCAATTTTAAATGGTGTCTGCAAGCTTCCCACTGAGTGGCCTGGGCATCTCTAGAACACACCTCCTCCATTCAGTGGGGATGGTCAGGGAGCCCTGGCTTTGAGCCCCAGGCAGGCACCTGTGGCTTTTGGAGCCTGTCCTGGAACTTGATCTGTAGACCAGGCTGGCCTCGAATTCAGAGATCCACCAGCCTCTGCCTCCCGAGTGCTGGTACTGAAAGCGTGTGCCACCACCACGCAGCTTACAAAGTCATTTTTGCCTGCTTTGGCTTCCAGGGTATCTCACCAGAACTTTGTGGAACGATATAAACTGCTGAGAAGGCTCCGACCTCGCACGTCCTCTGGCCTCCAGGGCCTGTGTCCTGCCAGAGGGCCCTCTGGTGAGTGGGGTCCATTTTTTGTCGTTTGTTCATCCATAGGTTACTGAGGACTTAGCTGTACCTCCTCTGAGATGAGGATCCAGAGACTAATGGTTGTTGGTACAATGTGGGGAACAAACCCCAGCTGACAACGGTGTAGAAAGGCAGAGAACTAACTCTGACACCAGGAAAAGTGGACATGAGAAAGCATTCTGGAGCAGGTGGTATGTGGGCATAAACTGGATTAGCCAGGTAACAACCACTAAACAGGACAAAGATATCTGAACAAAAGCTTCCAGGCATGAGACAGTAGATGGGCCCTAATCAAGAAACATGGACTTTATTTCCTGAGTAGATGAGGGATTCCTTCAGGGAAGAGAGCCAGTGCTCTATTCACCTCATGCTCTCGTCCACTCTAGGGTCTTGGGGATGAGGCTGTGAAGCCACCCAAGGAGAAGCCAGAGCTGTGGGCAGCTGAGTAACAAGTGGGAAAAACTGGTCAGTGTTGATAGGCGCAGCTCCATACAGATACAGAGGTAGACAAGAACAGAGGGTGAACTCTGCCTGCCAGCAGGCAGAAGGGAAATCTGAGGAATCTGGACCGGCCCTACAAGGCCAGCTTGAGTTCCAGGTCCCAGGAGGCATCAAAGGAGATGTGTGTGTACAAAGCACTCGGGCAAAAGGCTAGCCAGTAGCTGTGACTGAGAGATTGTTGGCACAGTGTGGCTGTCCATAACCAAGAATGTGGGAGTGTTAAAGCTCGGGGACAAGTGGAGGGACAGACACAAGGACTAAGACAAATCTCAGCCCAGCCACAGCTGCTCTTTCTCCTGGGAGTTTATCACTCTCCTTTCCCTCTCCTTTCTTTTTCCTCTCTCCATGGCTTGCCTTCCTGTCTGTCTTACCAACAAGCCCCTCTGGGCCCTGATCTCATCTCCTGCATCTGCTTTGATGGCCTCTGTCTCCAGTGAGGCGCTGGGCTGCTAACTGCGGTCAGAGCCCTCAGGTAAATCCTCCCACACAGGAGGAGCTTGGGAGGGTTTTCCCACAGCTGGGTATGTTCTTTCTTTTCCGTAAAGGTAAGGAGTAAGAGGTGGAGCTGAGGCAGTGGCCAAGCAGCCTGGGATTCCTTCCAGGCTTCCAGTCTTTCTTGCCCTGCCCATCCACGAGACATGGGGCAGTAGAGGCTTCAGCATACTCCCAAATAGCCAGGATTGTGAGGGACTTAAGGGCTCCCTCTACCCACAAAAGGGTGGGAAAATGACTAGATCCAGAACAGCAGCAAGAAAGAGGCTTAGTGAGCTCTAGGGAGACCAGTCAGTCTCTTCAGGCTACAGAAGCGTGTGACAATGAGCAGGCACTGACGAAGCCTTTCTCCCACCCCCCAGAGCAGCCTCTGTGTGCCAAGGATGCCACGCTGCAACCCCCACTACAGGACATTCTCCATGCTCTGCCAGCTTTAATTCAGACAGCAACCACTCCCAGTGACCCAGCTGAGACCACACAAGTCCCACTGTACTGTGGCAGGACAAAGATTTTCATGACTGACTCCATGGTAAACTGGCTGGGGTGTGAGATTATAGGTACCAGCTGCAAGTGTAGGCCATCCTTGGGGCAGGGGCAGGAGAGGCCAAGGACATCAATGGATTCCTCTTCTCTCAGCTAGAGCTTCTGGAATGTGGGCGTGCCCAAATGTTGGAGCAGTGTGCCCGCTGCATCCAGTGTGGCTGGAGGCGGCACCAGCTCCAAAAGCAGAAGAAACAGAGGCAGGCCGCAGTGCTCATTCAGGCAGGTAGGTGGAACCCAGTCACCTATTAGTGAGGCTGATTCCATATGATGGGTGTGACTAACACAGCCCTGACAGACTTTTTGAAAAATGAAAATAATTTGTCTTTTTGCAGTGCCATGAGTTAGACTCAGGGTTTCACTCATGCTAGGCAAGTGCTATACCATGGAGCTATGTGCCCACATAAGCCACACACACACACACAAAAAAAAATTTTAAAGGCTCAGATAACCTAGATCCCTCTTGTTCCTTGGGCACTGCTGAAGACTGAGTGAGATCTGTGGCAGTCTGGGAATTTGCCAGTTAGACTCCCAGGTGGCTCTTCAATGTGTGGCTATCTGCAGGGTTGTGGGCAGTATAACGTAAGATTTATTGTGTGAGTCTATGCATGTGTACCATGTGTGTGCAGGTATCTTTAAGAACAGGACATCAGATCTTCTGGAACTGGAGTCAAAAGAGGTTGTGAATCACCATGTGGGTGCTGGGAACCAAATCTGGGTGCCCAGCAAGAGCAGTGACTGCTCTTCACCACTGAGCCACCTGCCGAGGAGTGACTTCTGTTTGTTGCTTTTGTTTTGTTTTGTTTTTTGTTTTTGTTTTTCAAGACAGGGTTTCTCTGTGTAGCCCTAGCTGTACTGGAACTAGCTCTGTAGACGAGGCTGGCCTCGAATTCACAGAGTGCTGGAGTTAAAGGCATGCAACACCATTACCCAGCCCAGGAGTGACTTTTAAGCCCCATTTTGCCTTATGTAATGACGTAGTATACCACTGAAAAAATAGATTTCACACTTTCACATCAGCCCTGGTACTGGCCACATGACTAACATCTCTAATAATGGTTTTGATGTCTTCTGCTGTTTCTTTAGCTATTCGGTCCTGGTTAACTCGGAAACACATCCAAAGGTTACACATAGCTGCCACAGTCATCAAGCGTGCATGGCATAAGTGGAGAGTGAGTATGACTGGAGGCCAGGGTGGACAGTACTTGGAGACTGGGCTTCAGACAGGCCTGAGAGGGAAATGTCTCTGCCATTGTGATGTGGGCGTGCCAGCAGGCCATGCAGCCTCTCTGCCTTGTGTCCCCCTGTATGGTGAGATGGCTACAGACAGCTCCAATACAGGGTGGCTGTGAAAGTAGAGTGGCAGGGCTGGAGAGATGGTGCAGCGGTTAAGGGTTAAGGGATCTGGGTTCAATTCCCAGCACTTGGGAGGCAAAGGCAGGTGGATCTCTGTGAGTTCGAGGCCAGCGTGGTCAGAGCAAGTTCCAGGACAGGCTCCACAAGCTACAGAGAAACCGTGTCTGGGGGGGGGGGGGGGGAGTGCTGAAAAGAGCTAGTAAGATGGCTCAACAGGTAAAGGTGCTTGCTGCCACACCTGACCAAATGAATTTGAGTCCAGGGACCCTCGTGGTACGAACAAACTCTGCCTGTCTCTGCCTCCCTATCACTGGGATTAAAAGCATGCACCACCACTACCTAGCTATTTAATTTTTTTAAAGAAGGCTAAATCTTGACTACCCAATATCAATCCCTAGGATGCCCAAGTTCTCTGACTTTAGTGTGTTCACTATAGCATACCTCCATGTCAAGTAAATGAATGCAAAGGTAAATTCTTTTCGGAAGAAGGCTGGACAAACCTAAAGCTATAAAGCAATGTTTTCTCTTTAAGATCAGAATGGCCTGTCTTGCCGCTAAAGAACTGGATGGTATGGAGGAGAAACCCATGACTCAAACTCCCAGTTCCCTGAGTTCCTCGCTGCCCCCAGCACACACTAACCTACTGGGGGCAATAATCCACCTCTGGCCCCTGGGACTGGTGCTAGCCAACTCAGCTGTGGGTGTGCGGGGCTTTCAGAGGAAACTGGTGGCCTATGCCTGCCTCCGGCTTCCCTCGAGCAGCCCCAGCAACAACATCCAGACAGCACAAGATCAGGCTGGAATCACATCCATAAGAGCACTGCCTCAGGTATGTTCTCGTTCTGTGAGATGGTAGGTAGTCCTTCCCACAGTTCCAAGTTGTTCACTGAGAAAGGCAGTGAGCAAAGCTTGCCCATATGTGGGAGTGAGGGATAGTACAAAACTCCTTAATCCAGCTAAATAAGCCAAAATCTATAGGTGTGGATTACTGCCATTTTTTTTTTTTTTTTTTGAAAAAAAAAAAACAGGACTCTTCAGAGTCCTTCAAAAAGTGCTTCTAAGTATTTTGCCTGTGAATGTTTGGCTCTTTCTCTGCAATGTTGTGAACCTTGGTTAGACATGTGTCTACCAGATGGACACAACCAACACCCTAGAGGGTAACTATAAGGAATTAAAGAGTAGGATAGTTAACTCTAGAACATTAGTCCCACTTCTAAGAAATGAGTGGCCATAATTTATCACCTCAAATGACACTGCATTTGGCAGTTTCTTCAAATTTTATCCCTTGGTTACTGGCTGTCACTTTCTCAACTAGAAATAATAACTGTATGGCCTGGTTCTATGTGTTGTGCCACCTGTTTCACTTGAAAGTGGACCCTCGCAGCCTGGTCTCAGCTCAGCCCCTTCCCTGGATAACCTTGGTGATAGCACATCATCTTGGAACCTCTGTAAGAGGGGGTTAATACCCAGCCTGGCACAAGGGACCAGAGGAAAGAAATCAAGTCACTAAGATGCTATATAATCTGTACAAAATCTCCCTGAAATTGACGAGGGATAAACAGAAGTGTTGTGATCTTCCAGCTGTAAGTAGACATGGGATGACAGATAGCACCCTTAAATAGACTCCTTCCCAGTATTTCCTGACATGCTCAATGGATGCAGGGTTTTATTCCTGAGTTTCTCTCTCTGAGATGTCTCTGGGCCCTGCCACTAACAGCATGCACCTCTGTTTCCCTAGGGCTCCATTAAGTTTCACTGCAGAAAGTCTCCACTTCAGTATGCTGACATCTGCCCTGAACCTTCAGCCTCTAGTGTTTCTGGTTTTAATCAGATTCTGCTAGAAAGAAACAGGCCAGTCCAAGTGTGATTCTTCTACCCCCACCTGCCTACGTGATCTTTAGTGCCTTTGTTTCTACAAGGCCATTTCCTGCCAGCTGCCTTGCCAAAGACATCTGATCAACACACAACTGCCAAGCTATTCCCACAGCGACTCTGACTGCACGCGCAAGCAACAGTTCCTGTCTGTGAGCCAGGGCTTGGCGGTCAGAGGACCAGCCAGCCAGGACTATGGTTTTAGTACTGGCAGGATCTGGGGGGTGACAGTTAACAAACCAGGATTGGGGCCACAACGTCCCAGCTTACTGTATTCAGGCTCAGCAGATGTGGCTGTCCATCCAGAATGTTGTCACAACAGCAAGATGGACACTAAGAGATAGATACTAAGTCATCCACAAGCACTTTAAAGGGGCCAAATCACCCTACAATTGGCTCTAATTTTGGCTGGGGAAGAACTTACATATAGTTCATTAAGGAACAATACTATTTAATAAACTGATTTATTTAATGTAACCAAGAACAATATCTTAAATTTATTTAGTAACAGTATCAGTTTTTAATTCAAATGGATAAACTTGGTTATTTATGATGTAACTCTAAACTGTACTGGAAATAAATTTAAAACCACCATGTAAATATAAATAAATAGCTTTTTTTTTTTTTTTTTGGTGAGTTTTGCTTATGGCTGTGGACCACATGCTTACAGTACCTTCTGAGGCCAGAAAAGGGTGTCAGATCCCCTGGAACTGTAATTACAATTGTTGGCAGTCATGTGGGTGCTGAAGATTGGTCCTTTGGAAGAGCTGAGCCATCACTCCAGGTTTCTTCTTCATATAGGCTCTGCACTTTGAGTATCCTCCACTTGTCTGAAGCAAGCTGAGTGATGATGAAGACCTACATGTTGTACAGCAGCCTTGCAAACAACCTCCTCCTAGGAGGAGTAGTGGGCAGCTTGAGCAAAGAGCACATCCAGTTTCAAGAATCCCTTTTCTGGGATGGTTCCACGATTCTTAAACAACAGTCTGCAAACTCCACAAACAAAGGCTCCTGCATGCAGGCTTTCATCAGCTTTGCTTTGTTGTCACCCTGATCAAGGTTAACCATCAGCTGTCTCAGGTGTGGGTTGAGCAGTAAACTTCTTAAAGTTGCAGATTCACCTTAAAAACCAATGCCAGCTTTAAGTTCAAGAGGAACCCAGGGCAGTGGCTGAAAACTAAGTTTCCAGTGTAATCAACTATGAAGGGCTTCTATCTCCTTAACTATTATGCTGTCACCACCCCAAGTCCTAAGGTTGTACAACCAACCAGACATGTAAACCATTCAACAAATGCCTTTAATCCCAGCACTTGGGAGGCAGAGTCAGGGGGATCTCTGTGAGTTGAGGCCAGCCTGGTCTACAAAGAGTTCCAGGACAGCCTCCAAAGCTACAGAGAAACCCTGTCTCAAAAAAACAAACAAACAAAGGACTATGGAGAGAAGGATGGGGACTCTCAATGCCTCCTCTAGCCTGTGTGCACATACATACACAAATGAGATTAGCACCAATAACAGAATTCTTACAAGCACCAAAGAAGCAATGCTACAAAAATGTGCATTGAGCTGGACAGATGGCTCTTTAAGAGGACTCATGCTCAATCCTCAGCACCCAAGGCAGGTGGCCTACAACCACCTGTACTCCAGCTCCAGGAGGATCTGACTCCTCTGGCTTCTGTGCACCTGCACTCATGTGCACATACCCACAGACACATGCACATAATTAAAATGTGGTGGACACCATCCTCTCCCTGCTGATTACCCAGTCTATTTTTGACTGGACTGCAAACAGCACATAACACAGGATTGCCCCACAGGCTGCTGTAAGAGGCAAATCACTACCCTCAAATGTGACTATAGTAATAAATCACTAGTAAGTCCAAGCCACCAAGGGAAGCTAGAAAAGTGCCTAATCTGAGCCTGAAGATTGAGAAAGACTTAAGTAAGCAAAGAAAATGAACTGCATTTTTAAAGCAAAATTATGCCAACCTGCACACACCATAGTACTAGAGAGGCAGAGGCAGGCAGATCTGAGTTTGAGACCAGCTTGGTCTACATGCAAATTCCAAGCCAGCCAGAACTACATGATGAGACCATCTCAAATAAATCCCATTTTATGCATCTCATGTACACATGGAGGTCAGAGGTCACACTAAGTGTCTTCCTCAACTGAAACTGTTCTCCACTCCCCACCCCCGACCCCCAGACAAGGTCTCTCACTACGTTCCTGGGGCTGAGAGTGCTGGGATTAAAGGTTCATGCTATCACACTCAGCTTCCACCTCATTTTTTTCAGACAGGGTGCCTTACCAATTCACATAGACCAGCTGGTCAACAAGACACTGGGATCCTCCTACCACTACCTCCCTAGTGCTAGGACTACAGCACCCAGATTGTTCTCTTGTTTTACATACAGAGATGCTGGAGACTAGTCAATACTTGGGACAAAAGTTGTCCTCTGACTTTTATGTATGCCTGCCGAGGAGGGGTAAAGGGGTGCACTGATGGAGTGAAGGCTCAGTAGTTACATACATTTGCTGCTCTTGTAGGATCTTCATCCAGTTCCCATGTCCATATTTAGCAACTCACAACCACCTATAACTACAGCTCCAGGGGCTCCAGCGCCCTCTTCTGACTCCTACCAACCCCTGTACTCAGGTACAGAGATACATACAATTTAAAAGTAAATCTTTAAAGACAGAAAAGGGCAAGTGAGGTGGCTTAGCAGGTATAAGCACCAGCTATGCAAGCCTGGTGGCCTGAGTTTGAGCCCCAGAAACCACAGGCAAAGGAGAGAAATTACTCCAGAAAAGTTGTCCTTGGAATTGCACTCAAGCCCACACACACTCACACACTTCATACAAAAGAGTAGCAACAATTCTGAGTATACATGCAGCATCAGGAGGTAGAAACAGGAGGGTGGCACCAAGTCTGAGGCTAGTGTAGTTTATAGTGAGTTCGAGGCCAGCCAAGGCTACACAGTCTGATGTACTCTGTCTCATCAAAAAGAAAAAATAAGGGAAATGCAGTGCTGAGCAGAACACTTGCCTCAGACGCCTCCAAAACAATTCAGAGACCCACCCACATTCCACACAAAGGAAATGGTATTGGAACTATCACAAAATGGGAATTCTGAGTGCTTGTGACACAAGAGTTTTGTGACCTCAAATATATGGAGCTGTTCTTGGAATGTGCTTTCATGCCCCTCCCAGGTGTGGTGGACTGGAGTGACTTCATTTCAGGTACTCATTACAACTGGCTAGTGCTATTTCTTTATATGTCTCTATGGAAAAACATGCTTCTGCCTCATGCAGCTTGTCTCTGTGACTGTACGGTTTACCCAGGTGACTATTCTCAACCCTCAGGATATAAATTGTCTGATACTTTGAATAAAGTTGGCTATTGCATGAGACTGTGGTCAACCTCATTTTTAGGCTCCATTCTCCCAGGTTCCACTGCCTTTACAGCAGTAAACAAAATCAATGAATGAAAAGCAAGCCCAGAAAAGACTTACCTAAACTCTTTAAATTCTGCAGAGACACTCTGTCTTCTTCCTCGTCACTGTTGAGGAAGTCAGCTATAGAGGAGTCATCATCTGAGGAGTGCAGAACACAACCAATTGGTCAGGTATCAGAACGCCAGGACAGCCATGCTGACAACATATGCACATATGTGTGTGATAGTGAGGGGCATACCAGTAGTCACAACCACATAAAATGAGCAGCTTGCTTCTCTGATTTCATCCCCTCTTACAAGAAAGGGAAGGTGGCAGAATGGTGACTGTGCTTAACAAATGTGTGGTTCATACTTCCTGTGATCTGCTGGCAAGAAGTCTGGTTTTTCAGGGTGGGGGGTTATTTTTTGTTTTTTTTTTCGAGACAGGGTTTCTCTTGTAGCTTTGGAGTCTATGCTGGAACTAGCTCTATAGACCAGGCTGGCCTCGAACTCACAGACATCCTCCTGCCTCTGCCTCTGCCTCCCGAGTGCTGGGATTAAAGGCATGCGCCGCCACCACCGGGCTTTTTTCTGTGAATCTGAAGGACCGCTTTGTGATACAAAAGGAGCTGCTTGCAGAGCCATGACACTCAGGAGGCATTATGGATAGATGAATACATGGATGCATGAAACACGAGTGGAATGAAAGCCCATTACCGCTCTAAACTCTAAGAAGACTCTAGCAGTTAAAAAGAAGCCTCCCTCATGGGCCTACCAGGGCCCAGGGCCCAGGGCCCCTACGCCCTTCATGGAACCATGTTTCAGGATGCTGGCAGCACCACCTGTGACAACCTCTGACCCACCCTGAGACTAGAGCTGCTGCTACCTTCTGCACCCTGCCCACCCATCTCCTCTCTCCTTCCCACTGTCTTTGAAATCCCTTGCAGGCTGCTCATTTAAAGTTGACCAACTTACCTTTGCTTTCCTCAGACCCTATATTCACCGGAGCCACTGTTCTTCTGTTCTCAGCAGGACGGGTTTCCGGGTTGCACTGCTCTGAGAGAGACACAAATTTCAGGCATACACAAACACAACCTCTCCATGCCAGCAGCAAGGCTGCAACTTCCCATCAAGTCAGGGAGAAGCATGTGTACAGAGTAGAGACGGAGACGGGGGTCAGGTCAAATGGAGCAATGGGCCAAAGAAAACCATGAGTAATTCTGACTCTAACTCAGTGGAAATTGACTGCGCTCAGGTGGCCGTGTGCCCCCACCCGAATTTCACTGGGATTAATGGCCTTGACGTCTACAAGCATCACATGTTTTCTCAGCAGTTTCAGATCTCACATGTATGTACCATGTGCAATTAGGAACACAGATGTGGGAGTTGTCACTCCACGTTGAAGGGTTTAGTCACAGAAGACACTACAGAGATGGATAAGGTAAGAAGGTTCTGGGCTGAGTCCAGGAAATCCAGAGACTTAGAGGAGAAGCTTTGGCAGGCAGAGTTCTGTGCCTGGATAAGAGAAAACAGGAGAGACAGAGTAACAGAGACAGAAAGAATATTCTACAAGTGTGCCAGTGCCTGTGGAGGCCAGAAGAGAGAGTCAGAGTCCCTAAAGCGGGGTTACAGGTGTCTGGGAACCACTGGACATGGGTCTGGGAGCCAAACTCAGGTCCTTTGGAAGAGTGCCAAGCACATAAGTGCTCAACCATCCCTCCAGTCCTAGAACTTCTTTTTTTATTACAAACAAAATAGACCTCCACAAAAGAAAAAAAAAAAAATGTTGAGAGTTCCAGGATGGCCAGGACCTCAGAGAAAAACCCTATCTCAAAAAAAGAGAGAAAGAGGCTTGGGCATTGGTGGCACACACCTTTAATCCCAGCACTTGGGAGGCAGAGGCAGGCGGATCTCTGAGTTCGAGGCCAGCCTGGTCTCCAGATCCAGTGCCAGAGCATAGGCTCCAAAGCTACACAGAGAAACCCTGTCTAGAAAAACCAAAAAAAAAAAAAAAAAAAAAAAAAAAAAAAGAGAGAGAGAGAGAGAGTGTGTGTGCTCACATCATACACAAAACTTACCAGGAGATTTGGTCTTTCTCAACAGTCTCAGTATGGAGCCAAGCTGGCCTGAAACTTGTAGGGATCTTCCTGCCTCAGCCTCCCCCATGCTGGAGTTACAATCACAAGTCTGCACCATCACTCCCAAATCCCCCCCACCCCATTTTAAAGGTTTTGTTTTTAGCTGTGGGGGTGACACACGCCTTTAATCCCAGCAGAAGCAGGCATGTATCTCTGATTTCGAGGCCAGCCTGATCTACAGAGTGAGTTCTAGGACAGCCAGGGCTACACAGAGAAACCCATCTCGAAAAACAAAAAAACAAAAAAAAAAAGGTTTTGTTTTTATTTGTGTGTATATGCCACAGTGTGCAGGTGCCTGTTGAGGCCAGGAGGGGCGTCAGATCCCCTGGTAATGGACATATAGGTTGCCTACAGTAGGTGGGTGCTGGGAACCAAACTCAGATCTTCTAGAAAAGCAACAACAGGCACTCAGCAGAGCCCTTTCTCCATCGACAGTTTTTTTCTCAATACATCAGTTACTTTTCTTAGCCAGACCTGGTAGTATGGACCCGTATTCCTATAACCGTAGCATTTGGCGTACAGAAAGCAGGATCATGATATGTTTGAGGGCAGTCTGGACTATATAAAAAAGAACCTGCCTCAAAATACTACACACAGAAATAGAAAACTTCTCTTTCTATTGTAAACAACAAACAACCGGTATTTTAAAGACAGAAACGCTGCTGGTTAATTCAAGGATAGTGAGGGGCTACGCTAGAATGCTAAGACGAATAAACAGCTAGGACTGACTTTTTCCAGTAAAGCAGTTGGTTTGCTTTTGTCTGGGGCAGGACCTCAGTCTAGAGCCCAGGCTGGCCTTGAACTCGTGGGAATCCTCCAGCTTCGGGCTCCTGAGTGCTGGGATTGCCGGCCATGGGACCTATCGAGTGCAAGGAAGGGCCAAGGGCTGCGACGGCGGTCCGGGGTCTTACCTTTGTGCTTCTGGAAACAAGTGACAGAGCAGCTGTAACAAGAAAGACAGGCCCCGT